TCAAAAAGTGTTGTTTTTACCTCGGTACAGTGGCTCTGAGAGCTCAACAATCTGCAACTTAAGAAAACACGTGCAAATAAACAAAAGTTTGTTTCAGTTTCAGTTTGCATGTGTTTCCTTAAGTTGCAGTGCTTTGAGCCCTCAGGGCCACCATACCTCTGACAGGTCATAGCGGTTGCAGGAAAGGAATCATGAAGTGAGGAATAATCTTCACTATGTGATCTCAGTCGGCAGCATTTAATATATAGTTATAGTTTCCAGTCAAGTTGGGGCCATTTTGTTGTATAAAGTTATACATATATACTAAGCTTTTATTACCGTCTCATCTCATTTTGATTTGCTCAATAAAACTGTAATGAAAGTAAAAAGGCCTTTATAGTTTTAACTGCTTGTACTGTCAACATCAGTGTCACTGAATTAAAGGTTATAATCTCAACAATTTACAGTTATCAACAAGCTTTAGTTCAGTTTGAACAGATGGCTCGCTTTTTTTTTTTTTTTTTTAATCAGCTGCTCCAGCGATTAACTTCAACTCTGGGGGAAAAAACTAATAAACAAAAAACAAACAAAAACAAAAAACAGGGAGCAAAATCTACTACTCCATGGAATGATTTTCACTAATTCATCTCCATTATATTCTCTTGTTCAATCTAGAACCAGACTCCATGTGTTTCCTGGTTATAATTAAATGCAAGTTTGATGATTTATAATCAATAATTAGTTAGCTAATAATGCTAGACAGGGTTTCATCACTTAATAGCACTTTCGCATCCAGACTGTGGATGTACCTCATGATGTCGGCATATTAGTACATAACCTCAGGTCTCGGGTCAGGTCCGGGTCTAAAATTCGGCAGCAGTAGTCCAGCTTACTCGTGATGGGTCTTAAGGATGCAGGTCCATGTAGAACTTTATGTTTAAAGTATGATCAGGAGCACCATCTTACATGAAGCGGATTGTGCTTTTATGCATGGCTTGATAACTCCTCTCTTGCTCTGTATGTCCTGGTCTTTTCTTGTTGTGTGTGTGTGTGTGTGTGTGTGTGTGTGTGTGTGTGTGTGTGTGTGTGTGTGTGTGTAGTTTTTTTGCTCCGGAAAGTTTGAACAGGTCTGAAGCTCTGAAGTATTTTCAGGTTTAACTGCATCAGCAGCTTGTGTCCAAGAGAACATCTAGTTTTGGAAAAAAAAAAATACACCCTGACTGCAAAGAACAACTCCGGCCTCATTGGACCTGAACAGTTCTGATGACCCATGGCTTGTATGGCCTCCAGTCATGTATACATATGATAACACTGCTATAAATCTGTTGAATCCAACAGCAGCTATGGTTGCTGATCATTTTTTGGTCCGTTACGTTAAAATGACAACTAAATGATTTCATTTACTCAAGATTTTTTTTTTTTTTGCGATGCTCATCTTTACTTTTCATCGCTGTTATCAGAGATTGTAGTTTGATGTGTCATTATCTCAGAAAAGGCTAATTAAATAGTTAACTTATGATGATGACTCCATAATGTCATTATATGAGATTAGTGTATTAAAAGATTATATGTTGGCCGGCCTACACAGTTTATGATCTGCGCCTCTCTGAAGGCTCACAGGAATCACTCCACGATAAAACAGAACATGATTATCCCAATATAATGAGAAACTGACGTCCTGATCACCAGAATAGCATGTTTGATGTTCCCAGATAACATTATAATTACATTTTTATTAAAAACACCGACTCCGTCGTACCTCATTACCTTGGTCTCTGGTTGTAAGTGTGTAGCTGGGTACAGAGGGGTGAGTGCGTCTCATTGAACCCTTTGAAGGTGCAGTCCGTAACTGGAGAAGCCGCGATAAAGATATTAATAACTGTCACCTGAAACGCTCTCCTCTAATCCCCCCCACCCACCCACCTCAACTAGCAGAGTTTCCTTTAGATCCCACAAAGACAAGATTGTGTCACTGTGAACTCAATTTGGAGACAAAACTACTTTATTTTTTCTCTATAACACGGCTGAATGAATTTATAACCACCTTTATCCTGCCCCTGTAGTATTTGAGCTTTATTTGCATACAGCAAACCAACACGGTAGAGCGAGATGATGATAGATATGTGTGGTATGTATGTGCTGTAACTGTACCCCATCAAGGTACCACACTAGAATGTGTTTCTGTTATTAAAGGTTCATTCAGGTTTAATACGACTTTGACTATGGGTCTTATTTTTGTAGTTTTATCCAACATGTCAGAATGAAATTCTGCTCTGGGAGTTCATTTCTGAAATCTGGGAACACGTGACATTGATACAACAAAGTCTAGATTATCTAAACTCAGATAACATCCTTACAAGCCAACAGTGCTTGGACTGGGACTGACAGGAGCAGAGGATATCTACAGATGTGGCTTCATGAACCGCATCTCTTTCCTCTTCCTTTGATTTGTTTGTCTTGACACATCTTGACATTGTTTTATCTCGATTGAAATGACTTTTTGTTGAACTTCACGAAAATATATTTCACATTTTCAAACTCTGGATGCAGCATATGGATCAATGTGCTGGGGAAATGTTAGAAAAGTTAGAGAAGAAAAAATGGTTGGAACATGTTTTTCTGAACCACTTCAGAAATCATGTTTTATAGCTTTTCTAAATGCCTACACTTGAAGGCTGAATGAAAAAGCACACCGCAATAATCGTTTAAATGTGTTCAAACCCTTCTTACTTTTTCACTTCCACACATGACTTTCAGTTCCGGGGGGGGGGGTTGTTACAGAAACAGTGAAACAGCCTTTCCTCAGTGCTAAATGGGAGAAGGACTGTGGGGTGAGTCGGTCCAGAATTCAGTCATTCCGATGGAGCATATTTAAACGTTTTTCCCTGGACTGAATCTTTGACTTGTGTCAACAAAGAATAAAAGCGGTGTAGTAGCTGCTGAACGCATAAAACAAAGATAAACCTACACTAGTCTGCAAGACTGATGATGACTTATGTGCCATAAAAAAAAAAAAGGTTGAGGTTGATCCGAACCAGAATCTTTCCAAGCCACAGTACCCCGGCATCATTGTACTCCAGCGAGTAAATCAGCCGGGATAATTGGGATAAGCGTTTATCCCGGTTACTTAAACCAGGATATGATGTTTATATAAACAAAAACATCAAGAAGCCCAGCCATAACTGGAATACAAAAATAAGACCCAGGTTGTATTTAACTGAGATTATTCTTGAGCAGACGCCAGTTCAGGTTTTGTTTCTGGATTGGCTACACTGGTTTTCAATGAACGGTTTTATTGGGGGATCACAATGACTCTAAGTGTTCTGTATTGAGCTCAAAGCTCAGCTCTGGATGACTGGGATTCTGTATCTGATGAGAATGAATTGGCCTGTTTATTGCATTACGATGATCATGCCTAATGTGCATAGAAATATCCGACACCATGCGCGTGTGTGTTTTTATTTCTGACTGCTGATGGGTGGCTGAGGCCTGGAGGAATCTTGCAGATACAGAGGGCTTTGATTTTTTTTTTTCTTTTTTTCTTCAGCCTAGACGTCTTTTGACAGAGTAAGGTGACATCTTTTTAACCTCAACCTCAGCGGTACAGCAACAACGCACACGGTTAAAGAGATTAAATAGGTTTAGAGAGAGGAGGCCCGGCAGAAAGCCCTGCCCGGTCTCGGCTGTAGGTGGGAAAAAAATAAAGAGCTAAAGAGGAAAAGCCACGTACTCTGAGAAAGAGTGGAGCTTCACAGATCCGCAGGACGGAAAGCCAAGAGTGTGTTTTTTCGACCGATGCAATTACTTAAGTCTTTCTTAGTCGCTCAGGGCGGCAGAGTACAGAGTTGACGTGCTGCTGACTCTTCTTTATGTGCCATGTCTGCTGGGAGTCTCCAGAAAAGATGACAAGGCAGAAGTCATTTGGGTTAAACAGGATACTGCATCTCCCCATTACTGTACGTTTGTCTGTTCATCAAAGCTCCTGCCTTTATACATCCCCAAGGCAGGGCTCCACTTTGTCGTTATTACAGTTTTTTTTTTTTTTTTTTTTTTTTTACAACTGTTTTTCTTTAGAGACTGCAAAATAAACCCTCCCCACGCACACACATTCACACTCACACATTTATCTCTATGACTAGAATGGAAAAAAAAAATCAAACAAACGCCACATTTGCTCCGAACGCAGGCTCAGTCAACAGTTCGTCCACGACATGAAGGGTTCAGTAAAAAGGAAAACACACTTTTGAATAAAAGAGGAACGCATGTATAAAATGCTAAATGGCTTATGGGATCATCAGACGGAATGTAATGCACCTACACGAGAATGAAAATGGTCTGACATGACAGTTTCCTGGTTGTCACTTCTCTGGAATATTCTGTACAATAATGTACAACAGTGGAGGTCCTGGATCTCCTCGCTACCCACAAACCCTCCCACGTAACTGGAGGGACCTCAGCGGCTGGAATACTGAGAGTTAATAGATGATCCCAGATCAGGGAGTTACATGTTTTCATGTTTGGTCAAGTTCTCTGTGAATTATCAAACAAGGAGGCTCCAAGAGGACAAGTCCATGAGAAATGTTCCGCAAGATTTTAACAATTTGACCGTTTCCCTCCAATACTGCTGATTCGTTCAGTTCTCCACACTCACAGTAGACCAGTCAATATAAGCTATAAGCAGTTCACAGGTTGAACACCTTTACCTGACACCTTCAGAGGTTCAGAACCGTTGTTTTTGCTACAACCATTCGCAATCCAAAATGTAGTCCTTCAGTGTCTCCATCTACTTCCTTTAAAAACTGTCTCGGTCAAGGTCCATTTCACCGTCTGCTCCACAACAACAAAACAAGCACAACTTCAAATTTTTGATAATATTTCTTTAGTTCTTCAGATTTTTCTGTTTTTTTTTTTTTTTTCAAGATAGCAGAGCATCAAGACACCCATTTTAAAACACACACAAACATAAAAAAAAAAAAAAAAAAAAAAAAAAAAAAAAAATCTGGAACCAGGAGAGACTGGAGATGAGTGGATGGATGAACACATGGAACAGTTTTTTTCTGTTTTCTTTCTTTCTTCTGCGGCTTCGGTCGGGCTTCTCGCGGCTGCACGGCTTTAGCAGACGGTGCCGTTCTCCTGTCGGGACTTGGGGCAGGTAGATCGGGGTATCGGCTGCACGGAGGGGGCCAGGGTGCAGAAGAAGCCGGCGATGAGGGTGAGGCCGAGGCCTCCCCAGGCGCAGAACATGGACCAGCCATAGCCATGGCCGATGTCGTCAGGCAGGCCGTACAGATACCGTGGGTAGCGGGAGAGCTCGAAGTTGATGCCAGCAACGCAGGTACAGAGGGAAATGATGCAGAAGGTTCCTGCAACGACAGAACGAGATGGTGACGAAGAGGAAGACAGAAATCATCATTGTCACAGTGAAACTCTCACAGTGGCTCCTATAAAATATGTCTATACCATAGTCACTTTGTTGCTTGGATTATGCTCACTGGTAATGTTTTATCTCATCCAGGAAGTATGACATTCCTGTACTGCTGAGAATTAGTCAGGGTGGACGCTTGGATGTCTGAAGCATCAGTTGTTAGGTTTAAATTACTCAAACACTTATGATGTCTAAGGGGAGATGGAGATTTTTGTTAAATACAAGTCCACGCGTCCCGTCTCTTGTTTTTAAGTCAGCACTGACCTTTTCCATATTTAACCAAGACCACCATCTTTTCCCCAATCTTAAAGGTCACAGGGTGACACTTATTTTTTGACTGGTTTCCAAGCTTGAAGAAAGCTGGTCTTATGTAATATGAGCTGACCAAAGAGCGGACGCCAGAAAGAGAGGGAAAAGATCAATGACGGAAAGGCTGGCTGAGCTCACCTGAGTTTCAGGTAAGGCCTGTATCCTTTTCTTTCTCATTGGCAACCAAGGCATTCAGGTTACGTAGTGGCCTGTTAGGACCTGGTACAACCATAAAGGTCAGTGGTAACTGACCTAAAAAGAATGATCTTACCAGCGCTACCAGACACTTTGACAACCACTGGTGTAGAGTAAAACAAAGAGCCCTTGAGAGAGATGTTCAAACCCTGCTTACTTTCTCACGTCTCACAAGGTGACAGTTTGCATATACATTATAAATGTCTCCTCATTATGTTGGTAAAAGTAATAATCATGATGTCATCATGTTTCATACAAAACATACATGCTTCTTTGACTGATGATTCAACTCTAAACTCTTAAAGTCCATCAGCTGATAGTATCTCTGCATAAAATGGAAAAGACTTTAGCTTCCAGTGCTGTGGCTGCCTGATATAATGCCGCCCACTTCATCACCCTACTGTGTCTGCATTGCATTGTGGTCCATTTTCATTCTGCTGGATCGTCCCTTGAATTAAATGGTTTTTCTAGATTCACTACCGAAGCACTTACTGAGGGACAAACCCCAGGGGATGAGGGGAGGATGTACCACCAACCCTCTGACATGCCTTAAAGAATGTGCTGTATCTCTGTAAATATTCTGTCCAAATTCTCTCATCTGAATGACTCTTTTACTTTGGATTGTGCAGTTGGTGATGCAGACTCTAAATTTGGCCTCGTTCTCGGAGCTCTGCGACCCTGTGGGCTGCTTTGCTGTGATTTGGCCACTGCAGACTGACCCAGCCTGTGTCTTGTGCCTTTATTACCAAGCAACATAATTGACTTTTTAATTGCCTGTTCATTATACAACTGTAGGGCACAGCACTAATCCAAGACTGATCATAATTGAGTGTGCAGTCGCCTCCTGCCAAGCAAGAGCAGTGCAGCACACAGCACAGTGTGTGTGTGTGTGTGTGTGTGTGTGAAGTTACTACTGATTGTCCACTGCCAGAAAGTGGGACACACAGGGTTTTGTGTGTGTGTGTGTGCGCTTGGGGGATGCAGAGGCTGGATATGCACATTCATACTCACTCTAATTCACCAGCATCAGCACAGATGACAACACAAATACACACATATATAGAAACACTGCTGTTTACAGTGTTTTTATCCACAGTGGTTCGCCTGTATGAAATGGTATTTCAGATGAATTAAGAATGGAATGTTTCAGCTGTCAGGTTTTGGTATTTGTGGACAGTTAAAAGAATAGCTCACCATTTTGTCAAAAACACGCGTACTGACGTTTTTTGTGAGAGTGAGATTTTCAAATGGAACGCTCACGCTCAATCTCATGTGTGTGTGTTGAGAACAGAGCTGCAGTCAGGACATGGTTAACCCAATTTAGCACAAAGACTTGAAACAGAGAGAAACAGCTAGCACCGCTCTGGCCTAAAATCAAAAATACACCAGCATCACCTCGAACGCTCAGTAATTAACACACTGCATCTTGTTTGTTTAGATGTAACAGTAACAGTTTGTGGTGTTAGGGGGGCTTACGTGCTGAAACTTCTCTATTTATGGGTGACTGTTGTGCAGTGACAATATCACAATTCAATGTATACAGTATGCAGTACTGTGTGTAATGAAAAAAAACTGTTTTCCTTCATTTCATGAAACGCTTTCTTCTAATCTGACTGGATGTTCTCCTAATGTATGAACAAACTGTATGAACTGATCTCCGCAAATAATGTACACTTAATGATTAAGCAAGATAAACATACCTTGTACCCTGGATGAAAGGGTTAAACATGTGTACATAATAGTCACTGTATAAAAGAGCTAAGTTTGAGATTGGAGGGTGTCCAGACTCTTGATACCGTTGTGGTTGGAAGACGCTGCACCCTATTTGGCCAAATAGTAATGTGTTGATCCTTGTCTTGATCATTGTATTGATTATTGGTTGTTCATTTTAATTTGACATTCTGTTCAGTAATAAATCTTTGAATCTTGACAGACTCATTGTTGTCTGCTTTCCTCACCTTAGAGCAAAATTGCCTCTACACTGTGTATACAAATTATTACAATACATTGATGTTTGCAGGCAGTATCCAAGAAATCAACATGAATGACTGTTATATTAAAAGGAAATATTGCATCATTGACTGTAAATAAAGATGGACGTAGCCTCTGTAAAGTCACCCACAGGTCTCTGAAGAGCAGTTTTGAAGCTCAGAGTGAGCTGCTCCACTCCACTGTTGACATCTTGGCAGTAAAGAATGGGCAAAGAGGAGGGGTGTGTACGGAGGGAGTCTTCAGTGCATGCATACTTTCACCCACCTGTCACTCAAAGAGGCCACGCCCTCAATTCTCCATTACTTTAAGTCTTAATAAAATGAATTAATGAATGAATTAATCAAACTGTTTTTGTACCAGGCTGTAAACATGTTTATTTCTGCTGTAAAGTTGGACAATTTAACATGGGAGTCTATGGGGATTGACTCACTGTTGGAGCCAGACTCTAGTGGTCGTTAGAGGAACTGCAGTTTTAGGTTCTTCAGTGTTGGCTTCATTTTTCCGCCCTGCAGGCTGCCGCTTGATTACAAAATGCGCACCACTGGACACGCTGTGACTGCTTGAACATTGCAAATAACTAATGGTTTTTCTCAGGTTTTAATGCTTTATATATATATATTCAAACAGACATGGGACAAATTAAAGGAAAAACCTGAATAATGAGTGGAGAAACAGAAGATGCAGATGCCTCCACTTGTAAGATCAAAGCTAAGGTGCACTGGAGCCGTTCTGACAGCTCGCCGTGACATAACACCTTCCTCAGACACTTTATGTTAATGTTTCCTTTAATTAACCTGTATATTGTTTTGCATCTCAGCCATGTCCATTCTGCAATGCATTGTTGGAGAATAGTGTACCCCAGCAAACTCAAAACTCTCATGTTTCTTTGCTGCATTCCGACTGTTTTGAGTGGCTTCAACTTGGCCACTTTTCCACTACATACTTAAAACCTGCTTAGAATGAGTGTGTAGCCTGTGGCTTAGAGGTACTGTGAACCGTAAATCACTGGTTAGTGTGTGTGTGTGTGTGTGTGTGTGTGTATGTGTGTGTGTGTGAGCATGTGACTCACCTCCCATGAGGAAGAGGAGACCAGCCACATACTGCATGAGGCCTCGGTCCCAGCAGCAGCCGAGCACGCCGATAATCCAGCCGAAAAGGATGATGGCCACCGCCATGCCCATGAAGCCTGCCGTCATCCGCCGCAAGTCTGAGGAGGCAACAGGAGAGAGGTTCGACATTATTAGAAGAGGTGAACAGAAAACATGACACACACGTGTTCTTTGTATCTGAAAGATGGGAAGTCAGAGGAGATTTTTAAACACAATAGGTATCACTGTGTGAATTTCTCTTGCTGTATATCTTCTTTTTCTTTTTCTTTTTTTTTTGAAAACATTTGACTTGGATGTGGCCAGATGTGCCACACATCTGACAGTCTGAATCTGCAGCAGCTGTTTTCAGGCCCATGTGACTCAGTGTTGACTATGAGCTTTTAAAACAACTTCAACCTGCAGCAGCTGTGATGACAATGAGCGTCATTGTCCCATTGGTAGCAGTTAACTCCTGGGCCGCGGCTGCTTCTGTGTTCTTGGTTAATATGAGAATCACAGAACTGAGATGATCCAGACCTGAACCTCACGTTGGATTCTGTTTAGTAGTAAGTAAGTAGCCACAAACTCTACGTAATAAACACAGTATAGTTTGATTTACTGCAGCTTTCAGGCTTCTGCTCTCCTTCCCCTCACTCCCTCATGTTTCCATCATGTGTCCCTTCCCGTTTGTAGCCTGTGTGTGTGTGTGTGTGTGTGTGTGTGTGTGTGTGTGTGTGTGTTTGGACGTGCTGGGTGTGGCTTCCTGTTTCTGTTCCCGCCAATTCTCTGACGCACCTGTGTCAGATCAACTCGTCACCTTTAACAAACTGCTGCAGTAAATACACCGCGGCTCTTCACCCTCGTTCCTCGCCAGATCATGAGTTCACCTTTGTGGTAAGAACGCTGCAACCACGCACACACTGCCTTAGCTGCGTGAACGTGGCGGCTGCCGTGGCTTGAACTGCTGCAGCTTGCACGTGTGTGTGTTCGCAGTCGGCTGTCTCTCTACACAATGTTTGCAGGTTACTGCAATGTTGGATTTTTTTTCATTATAAATTAATTCATGATTTATTTTTGACAGAAAAAGTCACTAAAATAAAACAGCACCTGGTAGAGCGCGTACCACATGGACCGCAGCAGCCATGGGTATGGATCCGACCTATGGCCATTTGCTGCATGTCATCCCCTCTCTCTCTCTCTCTCCCGGGCTTTCCTGTCTACCTCTCACTGTGCTATCAAATAAAGGCAAAATGCCCAGAAATATAATTTAAAAAAAGATGAATATTTTTCATGTCTGTGTGATATTCAGATTCAGCCGATCTATCAGATCACACTACATAGCTGCGAGACCAGAGACGCGCATCTCACGCCTTCCCTGCTTACTTTGACAATAAACCATTCCTGTTAACTGTTCCGACTGTCTCTGAGTCAGAGTCTGAAACATGGATTTCATTTACAGCTTTGTATTAAGACAGTAATTATTATTATTGTATTTAATCCTGTAAACAGAGGCTAAAGGACTGTTTTTATATTCAAGACAGATTTTTTTCATTTAAATAGCATTTTGACTGTTTGTTGACTCTACCTGCACAAGGATATTCACCTACATTCATATGGAGTGTAATGATTTCAATATAAGCTCCTTTATATTACAGTGGCTTCAGACCACTCCACTTTTTCCACTGTATTCTTGTAGATTTCCTTTTAAATGGATTGGCCCATCAGTCTCCGCTCAGCAACGCATAATGACTAAGTGAAAACCGTTTTTTAGAGTTTTTTGATCATTTATTCAAAATCGAAAAACTGAAATCTCTCATTTACAAAAGTATTCAGACCCTTAATTCAGTACTAGTCAGGTCAGTTGACCTGGTTTTGGTCGGTTTATCTCATTCTTCCTTGCAGAATTCCTGTAGCGTGATGTTGCCACCACCATGCTTCACTGTAGAGGTGGGATTAGCCAGGTGATGAGCACCCGCCTGGTGTTCAGACATCCAGTAATTCATTCATAGTCATTTGCCTTTTGACTTGACTTGACTTGACTTGACTAAAAGTGGCTTCCATCAAGCCTCTCTACCATAAAGGCCTGACTGATGGAGAGCTGCTGAGGTTTGCGGCCCTCTCTACAGTCGACTTCTGAGACTGTGAGAGTGGCTGTTGGGTTCTCGGTCACCTTCCTGACCGTGGCCCTTCTTGCTTGGTTACTCTGCCTAGAGAGCAAAATGAAACTTTGCCCAGGCAACATACAGTATGCCTGGGTCCTCGGCCCGAGTCTGGCCCATATACTTTAACATCTGGGCAGAGTCTGGCTGTCGTCCTGGTACTGACTGACAGCTGGAAGATTTTCTGTAAGCTTGCTAGAACTGAGAAAGATGTAGAATTAGCATCTTACAATCAAGCTGGGTCAGATTTATTTTGCTATCTGGGTGTTTGGCTGGATAGTAGCATGAATTATGGGAACTTATGTATGTGTGCCTTCCTAAACTATGTGCAATCAGTTTGCTACAGATGGACATAAACGGGAAACAACGTCACAGCAAAGGATGTAAATACTTTTGTAAATGAGCGATTTCAGTTTTTTGATTCTTGTAAAAGGTGTTTTCACATTGTCATTATGGATTACTGAGTGTAGACTGATGGAAAAATGGCACTTTTATCCATTAAACCCCATAAATTGAAGGGGTCTGAACGCAAATACATTCAATTCCACTGATGACTGCCACAATGAGCCTGATATTATCATTTAACAGGTTTACATTAAACAACAGAAACATGCAGAATCGTGTTGAATGAAATCTGGAATACAAGTTTGTGTGTGATTTGTTGAGCTGAACCTTTAAGTTTAAATTCCTTAGGAAAATTAAAATTGAAAGTATATGTTCTACAAAGAGGACTTGAGCTCCTCGCCTGCCTCAGGAAACCAGCCACTGTTTTAAAAACTCAATTGTCTGACCTGCTCAGTGACGGAGGACACCTGAAGTCACACTCTACTTAAATGCGTCTTTACCGTCTTTTATACTGGTGCGGTTTTGTAAATGTGGTCCATTGTGCAGAGGCAACATTGCGAGTGCTAACACAAAGAGGAAACGGAGAGTGGATAAGGCCAGGCTCTGCCACGTGGACAGCAGTGTGCTCTGCAGGAGGGTAATGACAGTGACAATGATTAGCTGCAGAGAGCAGCTGAAATATGAGAAGTGGGGGAGGAAGATGAAGAGCTCCAAGCAAAACCCTGACTCCCCTTCCACAAGTAGATTAGAATGTCATGGGTGAGCTGCTCTGCCAGGAGGAGGAGGAGGAGGAGGAGGAGGAGGAGGAGGGAGGCTGGGGGGCTGGCACAGGGCTCGGGTGAAGGGCACCATGTGGTGGAGCGAGAAAGGTCAAAACATTTGGCCTGAGAGCATAAATGAAGAACAACACAAGACAAGCCACCTCTCATGTTGTACATGCTGTACATGTTCCTGCATCGTCGTTGCTAATGAGTCGTTAACACATTCACACCCAGCATCCAACATCAAATATTATTGGTCTGAAACATGAGTTAGAGCTTGTCTAACCAATCAAAAAATGCCATAACAGGAAGTGGAGTAAGAAACATTTTTTTTTTTAACATTAATCTACTAAATCCCCCATATCCACAGTTCATTTGCGTCGGTTTACGTCAGTATAGAAAGAACTATGTGTGAGATCTCCCTTTTTAGCACAGAGAGTGTGAACAACGAATTGGACAGATAAACATAAAGTCAAACAAAATCCTATTTATTCTTTTTGTGGAAAATGCTCTGCAGTCAGTGAAGACCTGGAGTGTTCAAGCCACTGCTGCCTCCTCCAGCCTCTTGCTTGTTGTGGGGTCTCTCTCTGCGTTTACTGTGGTCTTCAGCAAGTTGGAATGCAGCTCAGTCAGATCGAGATCAGGTGATTGACTCGGCCAGTGCAATAAATGTCATTAATGTTCTTTCCAACATTTTCCATAGGGTTATCCAGTGACGGTAAGGGGTGCGTATGTGACGAGTTGGCAAAACGAATGACTTTTCCATCAGCCTCAGGTGGACTTTGTATGAAGTGCTAATTGTGTTAATTGCAAATGTTAGCATTTTAACACATCAAATAAAGAGGTTTGACATGAAAAGCATCACCTGCTACACATCAGCAGGTGATGCAGGTGATGTTAACACTGCCATTTTCAACATGTCAGCATGTGTCAGAGCTCTCTCACATCAGCTCTCCGGCATTTCTATGAATACTTAATAGGTGGTAACATTATGTTATCCATAGCTTACTATAGTTTATTCAACCAAGTATGTGTGTGTGTGTGTGTGTGTGTGCGCGCGCATGTGTGTGTGTGTCAGGTTCCTTCTGCCATCTTTCCATCAAGTAAGGTCATGCTGCTGTGTCCGTACTCCTCTATCAAAGGCATTAGGCCCAGCATTCCTTCGTGATGTCACCATCGTATGAAGGTGCTCCTATGTGTTCGTGTATACAGTATGTCCACATATGGTGAAATGCTGGGTTGAATGGAGCTTGTGCGGACGCTACTGCACCACTTGGTCAATAAACGAGCTTCGCTACTGAAGAGCCGCAAACGGCGACGTTTCCACTATGCTACTGAGAAATGTAGTTAAACTAGTAACTACTGCCCAACACTGATGACCACCAACTGTCTCCTCTGTCTCTTTGCTCACTCATCTGTCCATTGGCTGCAGGCAGGACAGCACGTGTCCATGCAATACTATGAAATCATAGGGCATTGTTACCCGGGGGGGGGGGGGGGACTTCTTCTAGAGTACACCACAAGGGGGTTTTACTACATGGTTGTCCTCTGTAGCGCTTAAACTGGTGGAGTCCCACGGAGAGCTGCGGGGTCTGGTTCTTGACAGAGGACGTACTATGGGCTGATCTGACCTGACAGAAAGACTGTCAGGGTGAGGAGTGAGGGGGAAAAGTAGAGCAACCACTCACCCTGACCTACATCACTGCCAGCTAGCCTTTAGCCTTTAGCCTTTAGCCTTTTATCAAACATATGAAAGCAAATACAGATTTATCTTATCCTGGACCCCTGAAAACTTTCAACCCCTGGGGAGCATGAACATGAGCAACCCATTTCATATCTACCTGCCGGTTAGAT